CGGGCGCCCCGCAATACTTCCCCGCGCTCTTAAAACCAACTAATTATTCAGTCGTGGGCTGTGATCACCCCGATCTCGACGTTTACAACCTTCCTTACGCATCGCGGGCTCACTATCTTGCCAACCTGGCAATCCTCGAGGCATCACCAAATCCGAATCAGTATACAAAGCGCCGCCTTCAAACTGGGATATCCAAACCCAGTACCTTCACCAGGCTAACCCGAACTATCCACATCCCATTGATGTTTACCATGGATTTCATGCATCTCGCCGGGCTCAACCTTCCTGATTTGTTTATTGGCCTATGGTGTGGTTCCATCGACTGCGGGAGGAGTGATAGTCGTGCCACTTGGGACTGGTTTGTATTGCAGGGCGAGGTTTGGAAGGCTCACGGGAAGGCTGTAGCTGCAGCGAGGTCGTACTGGCCAGGCTCCTTTGGAAACCCGCCTCGTAACCCAGCGGAGAAAATATCAAGCGGCTACAAGGCTTGGGAATTCCTTTTATATGTCTACGGTCTTGGCCCTGCCCTTCTACGAAGTATCCTTCCGGAAAAGTATTGGCGACATTATTGCAAACTCGTATTTGCTATCCGACTCTTGCATCAGCGGAGAATCACTGCATCAGAGTTGCGGCATGCGCATACCCTCCTCATTGAGTTCGTGCGAGACTTTGAACTCTTGTATTATCAACGTCGCGAAGATCGCCTCCACTTCTGCCGGCAGAGCATCCACGCTCTCACGCACCTTGCTCCAGAAGTTGCCCGCCTCGGTCCTCTTATTTACTACACCCAATGGACCATGGAACGCACAATCGGTAATCTTGGAGAAGAAATCCGTCAGCCATCAAACCCATTTCAAAACCTCTCCGAGAGAGGTTTGCGGCGATCACAATTAAATGCGTTGAAGGCTCTGATCCCCACACTCGACCCAGATGTGTCCACTCTACCTCGTGGAGCGCAGGATCTTGGGGAAGGTTATGTGTTGCTGAAGGCTATGGATACGAAGGCACGACCAACTACCGAGAGTGAAGGGATAGCTTTAGAAAAGTTCATGGAGACGGAAGGAGATATTCGTCAATGGAGAACCTGCCCATTACAGCGTTGGGCCCGGCTTCGTCTACCTAATGGTCAGATTGCACGCTCACTGTGGAAGGAGGGACTAAAACCATTGGAGGATGTCAGGATAGCCCGGAAAGTGAAGGTATGGCTCCTCTGCCCACGTCTCTGTCTAAATTCTGATCTCTCCTTAGCTTCAATTTCATCAGAGGATTGAATACGGGGAGGTTCGATATTACTTTCGAGCAAAGGTAAACAATGGGCTTGGTGTCTTCGCCATGATCTCCCTATATTCTCGGCCAGATCCCGTTATCCTACAACAATCCTACAATACTGTGTGGTCATGTCAAGATCAAGGTGATGCCGGCCTGATTGTTGTCGATATCAAGGCAATTGCTGCTGTTGTTGCAATGGTTCCCTGGCAGCCAGCACCTGGTAGTGATACATGCACATACTTTGTAGTCGAGAAGCCAGGGTTACAAGTAGGCTATCTATCTGGAGAGGAGGAAGAAATGACGGAGGAGTAGCAACGAATTTATTGGTATAACTGTCTGATTCATTGTTGTATACAAAAACTTTGGGTGCGGCAAATACCGACCTCTCTCTCCTTGTTCTGTCATTGTCATGGATGACGATATTGAGCTGTACTCTCCCTTGTCTGATGGGTTCTCGTTTGCTGATATGGGTTCAGCCAGTGGAAGTGAAATGGGTTCTCGGGCGAGCTCAGTATACTCAGCACCCTCATACGCACTTGATGTTGCTGGCCACCTGTCATCACCTCAGGTTACCTCTCGTCTGCCAATGTTGCACAACTTTGATTCTGAGCTAGGAGTCGCTGGTGCAAGCAATCCGGTGGCTCGAGGAGGATCTCCGTTCCCGAACGCGTTGCATTTCGAAGGTGGTGGTGGGTATGCTCTGCATACCTCTCGACGTGGCGACACCCCAAGCCACCCCCGTCCTTCGGTTCGTGTTTGAATCTCAAAAATCTATCTAACTCTGGCTTACAGTTTTCCCAGACACCACACCACCCTCAAACACGGGGCCCAAGCCTCCTTCAAGTTCTAGCCAAAGCCACTCATGATGATCTTGTCCGAGCTGGGAATCGTGCGTACAATGAGATGGTCATCCGTTCAGATACGTGGAAGTACGGACACCTTTCTGTCATCCATTATTATGGAAATTCATGTTGCTTTCCAGAGAGGCTCACCAACAACTCCTCGCATCCATACAATCTGCTCAACAAGCCCAAGCTTCCGCTTCTCCTGGCATGCCAGCACTTCCTTTTATCCCAGATGAATCCTCTCTTACCGATCGATGCCTGGATCGATCGAAATATCCTCACGTTCTACTCTGGGAGCACCAAACGTACAAGGACCGTATCAGCGGCAAGAACTCTGATGCTGCTGATCCTACGGAAGCTGTGCAACCCAAGCCTCAAGGAAAAATACAGATGTTGGAGGGCGAAAATGTGATGATGGATTTTGTTGAAGACGAATATGGTGTTCCGGTAACTGCAAAGATCGCTGGTGAGATATGTGACTTCATTCGGTCATGCTGGCTTGATCTCACACGATGTGGGCTTGCTCCAGAGACTTGGGGGAAGGTGGTGCTGTCAGCATTGCGATACTTCCGCCACTCCGTCTATACTGCGTATCCGATCTTGATGCTCTGCGAGGGGCATTGGAAGCTACACGCAATTGCCACAGCACTTTATCGAAACCCCAACAAATCCACTATCAAGCTCGAAGATGACGCTCCTGTGAAGCGGAAAAATACCCGTTCAAAACGGGCCTCCTCCCCCTCCGATCCCGCTACCTCAAAGAAACTCAAACTTTCGTCTCCACCCCTGGGCCACTCCCTGCTGCATCCAACAGCACCCTCCATCAGCACCGCTATGCATTCTGCATTGCCTGCTCCTGGAACTTCATCTCTTCCGACTGTCATTTCCATATCTGCTCCACTGGCACCCACTGCTCATAACATCCCTCCTCCACCTGCTCCCCCTCCGCCTTCAGCTTCTCCACCTGCCACTCCACCTTCAGCTCCTCTGCCCGCTGTTCCACCACCTGCCGTTTCGCCGCCTGCTGCTCCGCCAGTCACCACTCCGCCACTCGCTGCTTCACCACCTGCTGCTCCTCAACCTGCTGGTCCTCCACCCACTATTTCACCACCCGTCGTTCCTGCCGTTCCGCTACCTACCGCTCCGCCGCTCACCACTCCAATACTCGCTGCATCACTGGGCACCGGGAGCGCAGACAAGCCTCCCTATCCAGCAGAAATGGAAAGCACACCACGAGTGCCGCTTCACCCTCTTGCCGTTGCATATTCGACTGGTGGTCCGTCTGATCGAGCGACACACAGTGCGCCTCCAGACACCGCCATCTCTCAAACTGAGCTCGGAAGAGCAGTTCCGGAGGGTTTTGTTCCCGTCCAGGTGCGTGAGGTCTCTCGCCTGCAGTCGTCTCTCGTATTGACCACCCTTCTTCACATCCCATGTCATCTAGTTTGCAAGCCCGCTGTACGTCATTTATCCTCTCTTCTTTCACCTGCTCATACAGCTTTCAATACAGTACAGGCCTATTTGGAACCCAAATGTCAGCTCCATCCCTGTCGCTGACATTGGTTGAACCTGGAGCCGGATTCGGTAGGTTTATTTGTATACAACTGACATTATCCTCACTGCCTTTATCTGAACAGCATCATCATCCTCGAGCACACTTCCACCAGCGATCGCTACTCCTCTGCCTTTAGCAGGTCCATCGAGCCACGCAAAGAAACTGCCCGCAGGAACTACCAAGTTGTGGATAACAGCATCCAACACACCCAGGTGAGGCAAGCTGAACTGAGACCACCATGATACCGATGCTGATTCGACTGTTTGAAGGAACCTTTGCGCAATCCAGTACAAAGCCATGCACCCCAATGCCACCACCGCTGAGTTTGCTGCGCATTGGGATCGTCTTCAGAAGGTAAGCTCAATTGACTTCATTCACGGTGGGCAGTTTCAAGTTAACCCTGTCTTAGGAATCGAGTGAAGCCAAGAAGGCCGAGAAGCAGCGTCGGTAGGAAGGCGTGGGGGTGGTTGGGGCAATTGAGATGTTCGGGTTGTTCGGGTAGTCTAATGGGGAGGGTGTTACGGTAGTCGTACGCATACGTTAAGATCGTTGCATGGGTGGATAATTCTGTTACGAGTAGCTTAGCATTGCTAATAATATGGTATCTATCTATCTATCGGTTATCTGGAGACCGTCCTACTGGCCAACTAAGCGTTTTCAACCTCCTTCGATCGGCTAATGGTACCTCTCGATTTCATTCAGTGACGCTCAATTTGGCTCAAGAAATTTTGAGAAAAGTCTCATTTCTTGAGGGATACTGAGGGAGAACAAAGAAAATTACAACTCTTCAAGATCCTTCAAAATCCTTCAGACGACTTCTCACTGGGGGTGAACTGGCAGCAACTAGAACTGCACCGTTAGAACGCGTGAGAGTTGTTGGCGAGTCGCACAGCCACTCGCCCAAAGTTCCCGCGTCGAGTAACTCAGCAAGTAACCTGGTCCTAGCTGCTCCTGCTGTCTCCCTCGTCGCTGTTTTCACTCACTGGGCCGTAGTTCTGCGATAACTCATTGCAAAGTACAGACTGCTTTTAAACCTTGTCGCTCTCTTATTGCGTTCGCTTTCCCCTGTTCTGACACTCGGTTCTCGAGTCACTGCCACTCTTGCTGTCTCTTACACTGCACGACCTCGTTCACTCTTGGTCTCTCACTACTGCTACTAGGGGTATTTCCGTACTGAACACTAGAATCTATTCAGAGTCCTTTTCAGCGTTGTATTCTCCTATCGCTCCTATCGTCCTCGCCAGTCCGCTGCTTCCCCTCGCTCTCGTCCTCCTTTGTCCTCAGGCTCCTTGGGGCCCCTCTTGAGTAGCTCTCCCCCCTAGTATTTCGGTGGCAATATGGCCGAGCGGTCCATGGCGTGTGACTCAAGCGAAAGCTTGCCAGTAATCCGGTTTCTCATCCGCGTAATGCGGGCGTGGGTTCGAATCCCACTGTTGTCATAGTTTTTTCTCCTACTGTTCATGACGCTCAGCCTCTGGTCCATAAAAGTGTTGTAGTGGCAGCAAACACCCTTCCGAGACGATGCAACAGTTTACATCAGCCTTGTGCATTATAACCAACTTCCGTGAGCCATGTTTTGATCTATGCGATGCTTTTACACTGTCTTGCTCTGATGTGATCCAGCGTGCATTTGCCTGCCCACTCCTCTTGACTATCAGGTGTATATAGTTACAAGACTTTGCTAGTACATCAGATCTAGGTCAACCTTCTCATCCGCATGATACGAGGCAATCGCCCGACGAAGACTATAGGTGCACTGGTGAGCTTCTTTCAATCAAGGGATAGAAAAACCGGACCTCAATTGTTCATGATAATAGTCTCGGATTTCCCTATACTGCCGGAGCCGTTGTCGTTTGTGAATGAGGAAGAGCATCACGCAAATGGCCACCATGGCTGGAGCAAGGGTCAGCTCCCATCTCCGAGGCGGTGGATTAACGCACCTGCGGTGATACATAGCACGGTGATCGCGTATTGCCAGGGAGCCACTTTGATCGGCGTGCCTGGAAGGTCGGTACACAAGTCCTGTGTTCCACAAGTATACTGATACAGGATCAGCCAATGCAATTCTAGGTGCGGTGTATTGCGGAAACTTACTGCTAGACACTCCCGGTCAGCGAGACACGGTGACCCGAACACTTTCGCGGGAAAACACTGCCGGCTTCCTTCGTCGCAAAACAGATATGGACTGTGGCAATCGTCTCGAAGCACGGTGTTCGCATATTGCTGTCCGTCAGGACCCTGGTCGATATACGTCGTATTGTCGAGGAGACATCGTTGGCCCAGAGTCGCATTTGCATACCTGGATGATCGTGTTGAGTAAATCTCGGTCAACTTGAACAAAGTAATCAACATCACTTACATGCAGGTACTCTGGAGACATATCGACCCGTTGAAATTCTGGTTACTCGAGAGTTGGATGTGATCTGGCCCAGGTGCGCATTGGTTGTCTCGGTTCATCTCGCAGGGCTGCCCAGCGGCGATCAACGGTACGCATTGACTGCCATCGTCGGGACAGTACGATCCTTGCGAACACATAGACGGAAGGACATCCCCAGGTTGGAATCCATATGGAAATTCATCTGCGCGGCAACGCCGCGGTACACAGGTTCCGTTAGTGGTCCCAGAGCAGAACGTTTTGTCGTCACAATCCGTCAAGAACTTGTGGGAAGCAGGCTCGAGGTGATTGTCGCTAGCTGAACAGCTTCCGCCTTCAGTGACCGTCCCTCCGAGAGCATAAGCAAGAAAGGAGCACAGAATTAGCGACCTAGGCAGCATAACTAGAAGTGACGGTATACAGGTGTTGCTTTGGATAGACAAGGAGAACTGTTAGCCACAATCTTGGCCCAAATCACATGGTTTAAGATCGACGGTGAAGTTCACATTGAAATCGTCTGGTTGCAGTAAAACCAAAGTCAAACCAACACCCCCGTATGGTACGAACATAGTAATGTCAGGATTGTAGGCTTGGAAGTCGCTCACGAGGCTACACGATGGGTCGTGGTTATCAACATTCACCAGGTAATTGAGCAGCTTCGAGGTCTACATATATACGATGCCCAACGGTTCGATCGACCTTCGGGAAGATTAAAACGCCTCGCCGATGAGCGCCCAAAGTCGAGGACATAGACGGGTCTTCACGTCGATTGTGAAACGAACAAGACTACAGTCTCGTATTGAAGGAGGAAAGCACAACGCGACCAGGGGCGATTATCCATGTAAGAATGTGGTAAGAGAACTCCCATGTATCCAGCTGGAGCGAACCGTCAGAAAGAAAGTGACCCTTCCCATGACTGACTATACGAACTTTGAGATGGGGCCGGTATACCTGGCTGTCACTGGTCATGATCGCCCATCTACTCCATGAGATGAGCATCCTCCTCCCGGCTCGAGCTCGTCCAACACGATCTCATCTAGGTTCGTAGTGAAAGCAGGGTCGACGTTTAGTCCTTCTGGTCCATCCTCCTTGAGGCGGCACAGGTTGAGGACAAGTCGGCAGCTCTGTGTCAGGCCGGCATCAGCATCATCCGACCCGGCCATCGGAATGGCCACTCACAGAAAACGATAGCACTGATATACCCCATCTGAAGAAACCAAATACATGTAAGGAAGATATGTGATTGAGAGATCAGAACTTACGAATAGAGAAAACTGCGGAACAAGGGACTTAACGCTCCAAAGCATATACCTTCGAATACAATTGCACCTATAGAGAGGCTCAAATTATTCGAAGGGAGATGAACTGCCCCAGACACGTACCAGTGATCAAAACAAATACCCATAAGCTATCGCGAGCCACTATATACAAGATAGGATATGTGCCCCGAGTCGCGGAAATCACCTTGAGTGACTTTGCCAGGGCCAGAACAAAGACTGTCACTTGAGTTACCATTGAAATTGAGCTGGTGGGAATTTTCATCGTGAATATATAAATGAATATTTACCAGGATCTAGTGACTGACCTCAAGAGGATTAGGAACAACAACCCTAGTCGTGCTGTTGCAGAGGCGCAATAATGAGGAATCACGATGGAAAAGGCCACGATCGCTGCGACAACCTCGAAACCGAAGAGAATCGAAAATAGTACGCGGATGCGCCAGCTCCTGCCATGGAGGGCGTATACTAGAGCACCCAGCGTCGTCAGGAGTTATTGCGCTTAAAGGCACCAAGATCCAACGCACCTCGAATAGCCAGGAGGAGTTCGACAGACATCACCAAGCATTGCAAAGAGGTAGTTTGGAAAAGCGTCCACGAGAGACAGGCTCCATAAGAGGAGACGGAAATTCTTCCGAGAGATCTGAGAAACACCACGCTGTGGGGCAGGAGGACTCGGGAAGGACCTCAAGAAACATGAACAGCAGGGAAACTCACAGCTGACACAATAACGAATGATATCGTGTGAATAGGAAAAGCCATTTCGTCGGTGATCGTCTCGGTTGACTGGGATTTCATGGGAGTCGGGTCAGTTCGTCCATAGGGCAAAACTGTTCTCAAAAGGAGTACATACGGCCAGATGTATTGGACTTCGTCGTCGAACGTCGTCATGATATCCCATGCCACGAAAGTCAGGGAGGAGACTACGATGCATTTCGGTCAGACGATCGGACAACACAGCCGTGAGCAGCAAATACAGGAGAAGTAATTGATCGTCAGCTCAGAAAGAGCGGTCGACGCAATTGATTGAGAGGTCGACATTGCACGAAGTGTGACGCATCAACGCTGGCCAGCGATTCAGAGAGCTGAATAGGACACTCCATCAGCCTCGGAGGATTGATGGAGAAGTCATTGAAAGAGAGTACACGCCTGATGAGATATGAGGAGCCTCCCGCTCACTCTTGGACCTGTGGCCTGCCACTGTTGTAGAGCACAGAAATAGGTTTTAGGGGGAGACTCAGAGACAACGAGGAGAAAGGTTCGGTTCAAAACATGAGCCCATGTTCACCGTTCAATATCAGATGTTCCTCCCCCAGAGGAATGGTTAAGTGAAGGATATTCCGCGAATCACTAGAGGACGTAAATCAATTTGAGCAATGTAGCCGAGAGCTAAACTTCTAAGCGGTGAGCTTCGCCGTACATGAGTTCCCCAGGCGGCCGTTGGGGGTCGTGGCATCTTGACCGCATCAGTTCCGTCTCAACGAGGTTGGGATAGTGGTATATAGTCTCATATAGTGCACGAAACAATTGTATTCACAGACAATGTGATAGGGTACAAGTTACATTGATGATGTGACGGAGACTAGGCTATGCAGAGTACAGGGAGGTGGGAAAGGAGTCAAACACTAAAGTGCACAAATGATGGAGACAAAAAGAACAACAACATGGTAAAACCTGAACGAAGCAGAGTCAGCTACACGATATTTTTGCATGTACAAAAGTGGGGGTGGACGTGAAGCTTGGTGGGTATGCGGGGTTATGATAGAAAAACGAACAGAGATCGTGTTTGGGGTGGTAGCATGAGCCTTGCGTCTTCAATGCAAGTACTTGTCATTGAGGGCGTGAACCTCTCTCGACAGATATGGCCAATTCAGGCTTCTGGAGAACTCGTTCTTCAGCTTCTCCTCGTCATTGCCCGCACGTTGTCGCGCGAGCTTGACTTCCCATCCAAGGAGATTATATAGGAGTCGCATATTGGGTTGGATGAGCACGGAGAGACGACGAGAGCGGACGATGAGGTACGCATCGACGAGCGGGAGACCAAGGTATTTCATCACGTACGCAATCTAAAATTGAATCAAAACACATCAGAAATGAGCCAACGACAAGAGCTAGATAAGATCTCACCGTAACAGTTGCAGACCTCGACACACCAACCCTACAATGTACAAGCACTTGACCACCCTCCGCCCTAGCCTTGTCGATCCAATCGCAAATCGGTTCAAGCTGAGGCTCGAGCGTATCGATCCCATCGTCGCAGACACCCTGAATATCCAACACCTTCATCCTCCCCTCCCTCTCCTCAACCCAAAGCGAACCTTGACCTCCAGGCCCCTTTCCAGGAATGAACTGAGCATTGCAGGTCTTGTTGTGAGTATGTTCGGAGAAATTAGGCGGAGGGACGAGTGCGCATTCGCCGACCGAAACGACGTGGGTAATGCCAAGGGCGTGTAACATATAAACGTTCGAAGCGTGGTTCCTAATAATACGAACGTCAATCAATCGAAGCCGAGTTAGCAAGCGTACGAAATAGACTCACAAATTCCCGAGATAAAGGAACGGTAAGACTCGACTGGGGAAACTCCCATCAAACCTCGGATCATTAAACCAGGCTTCATGCCCCGCAACAAATGGAGGCAGAGCCGGGCTCGTACAAGCTCTCGGTCTCTTCACCATCACCCCATTCGGCTGCTGCTGCAACTGAGGCAAGACAGGTTGCCCACTACTGCCCACACTATCCGCTCTCGAATGCCAGCTCGACGAAACCAAAGATCCCAAAGCATTCCCC